CCTCATAAATGTTGAAAAAATAAAAATCATTCCTTAAATAATGCACGTAAAATAAATATGCTTTAACAATAAGCTGTTCATTCTCGATATTACATTATATCAAAATTTGTAATATGCAATTACAATTTTGTATGTAATACCTGGGTTATATAAGAATATTGAAATATTGAACATTACAAACAAACTACATAAGTAGGATTGGTAGAAAAACTAATTTAAAGTTAATTGAGCAGTGTAAGGGAGACAACTGGCCAGATTTACTTCATGAAAATTTCTCGCATAACTGAGGTTTTTCTTTGTAAGTGTATGACAATAACTACACATAATGTAACCAATTACTTTAGATAATGAGTTCATTCAATTTTCAATTAATTTACATTTAACAAACATATCTGAACTGAGGACAAACATTGTTACCAAGAGCAACACATCTTGTGAACTGATCCAGAGCAGTCTTTGACATGTTGTAAGCCAGCACATTTGGAAACTGAAATTATATTGAAACATGTACATTAGTTTTGAACAAGAAGTCAGTGTATAATGAATATCATAATAAAAGACATCCTCTTTTTTTTTAGAAAATATTTCAATAAAAAAGGAATGATTATCTTTAACACTGTATTGTATATAGAAGATAGCTGATAAAAAGTTACAATTATAACGTTCCCTGCTTTACACTACAGAGAGATCAGGCATCGGATCCTCTAGATAGGATACTGGAAAGGCTCATAACTACTGTACAAAAACAGCTAGTGTAGAAATATCCAAGTACTTACAGAACGTATTCCATTCACACTGGACACATTGACAATGTTTCCTTGAGATTTGACCAGGTATGGAACAGCAAGCATGGTCAGGTAATAGATAGATCTGTGTGGGAGGAAAACATACTTCAAGTTAATAGAGCAGTGTAAGGGAGACAACTGGTCAGATTTACTACATGAAAACTTCCTGCATCACTGAGGTGTTTTTTTTGTAAGTGTATGACAATGACTACACATAACCTAAGTAAATAATTTAGATAATGAGTTCATTCAATTTTCAATTATTCTTTTAATTTTCTTTATTTTTCTGTTAACAAAGTTTGGCTTTGCCTTTAATTTGATGACATGCAAAAATAACATGAAAACCTAGTGAGTGGTGTGGGAGGAGTTATATTTTAGATTTAGGTAACAGTCTAGCAATAGTCTATAATGATAAAGTTGGTTATGTTTTTCATTGTCTAGGACAACACAAAAAAGCCATAAAGAACCAGAGAGCATTTTAAATAAAAAGAAACTGACAAACGATTTGAGAATATAATGTATAAACAACACACACATGTCCTGACACACCTAAAATGTAACAGATTATATATAAACTCAACAAATGGATATAATAGCTATATATAGCAACCGTCTTTATTACCCTTATCTACAACAAAACGCAGTTAGTTTCGTATTACTGGGACATGTTATGTTATGGTTGTTTATATATTCCTGAATGTTAAGACCATAAGAAGTCTGTATTTGACATGACACTGTCAGATAGCATATTGAAGGACTCCAGCCTGAACACAATTTGTACCCACCTTACATTTACATTGAAGATCTTATCATACTGTTGAAGGGAGGTTGTTTCAATACTACCTAACTCAATGATCCCTGCACAGTTGACCTGGTGCAAACAAGACATACATTTAAAATCACACCTGAGAACATACCAACGTAAAACACAGTAAAATACTAGGTATTCTCCCCTGTTTACATGTAATTATGTGTTTGTTTATCCTCACTCAGCGAAACTTAACTTGCAATTTATCAAAACTTTCAGTTTTTTCCATATGGTAGACTGGCTACATTTAAAAGGAATCATAAAATGTATTAATATTTATGGTGAATTTTTAGTGTGAACAAAAGTTAACTGAGTCTGATCATCAATCACCAACATGGCCGTTTAAGTGTGACTGGTAATCTTTCAGTTTTTCATGCTATAACTGCACTTAAATGTTACTTTGGCCTTAATTAAGGCCACCAAGCTTAAGGTCTCCTAGTTGTTTTTAAGAATTTGATAGATAATGAACTGATTTTGAAGTCAAGCACAATTATAAATAAAAAATAATAAAAATGTTCGAATTACAAACCAAAATGTTAAGCTTTCCATAGTGTTCCACAGTTTTATCAAAGACTTTTTTAATGTCCTCCTCTTTAGCAAGATCTCCAGGAACTAGGAGGGGCTAAAAATAACAAAAATGGAATGTATTGTATACTCAAATGTATTAGTGCATGTGTAATATTATTAACAAGTGTTATCTGTAGGTCTGAAGTTATATGAAGGGTAATATAATGTGACAATGTCACAACGTCTATCCAATGAAAAAGAACATACATTTGGTTCATTTTGAAAATTTTCCATTAATTATGAGATCCTTTATAACAAATTGGGAGCAAGTTTTAAGAAAAAGTTTAATTACATGCCTAATAACAATATTAAGAAAAAAATAATAACACATACCTTTTCACCGTTACCCTCTGAACATTTTTGTCCAATTTTCTGAAGATTGTCTTCTTTACGCCCAGTTAAAGCTAAACTGGCACCAAGTTTTGAAAACAAAGCAGCGGTGGCTGCTCCAATACCAGAACTAGCTCCTGTAAATAGAAAAATTAATTAATAAACCTTGACTTTTATGAATGTTTGGGAACAGACTTGATAAATATGAACATTCTAGGCCTATTGATCACACCAGTAATTATTTTACTATGATTTTTAAATTAGTGTCACAGTATATATATGCTGTTCTTGTATATTCAAGAGTCTAAAGAGGGGAACCTATACGATAGTGCTGGGAAGATGATCAATTACAATAAAAAAAATGATCGGTTTGCCCTTTCTGATTCCAATTTTTTATTACAAATTCCTTAATCTATATAATCGGTTCATTAATGAAAATATTAAGTGTTAGATATATACAATGTAACGTATGCATTGAAAGTCATTTATTCTGATGATTTTTACTCTATAATTGAATAACCCGAGTAAATTTAAAATATCTGATAATACTTGATCCCTTAATTCACTTCAGGAAATGTTTCACATTATATACAGAACATGTAATTTGTCTTAACTCAAAGATCCCTGTGCACTGTATTAGATGTGTAGAGTATCCACAATATAGACCTACATGCATTGAATAAATAAGACTAAACAAACGTACATGAATAAATTATAAGACGTACACCATAGGCAGGGCCATACATTTTGTATACCTACATGTACAAAGTGTATTGTCATAGGAATCTGATATTTAGTCTGTAAATCAGAAAGAAAGATGAACAGAGATACTAGCTCTGCTTTATTTTCTCTATACATCTCTTATTCCATAGAGTATAGTAAACATCAAATTTCTTCCAGATTGGCCTCGTTGACATTGGTTAGAAAATAAGGTAATACACATTGGTAACATCACACTACCACAATTGGTACACTACCCAAATTGGTACATGGTCAGAAAATTGTTCGAATAGTACTTTAAAAATTAAATTTGAGATTTTCCTTTGACAGTATAACAAAAGACGTATTTATCAGCATTTATGCTGAATAGTTTTGTTTTAAGGAATATTTTAAGAGTAAACGATGACTTCAAAGAAAACACATCAGAAAACCAGTAAAAACGACATAAGTCGACGAAATTTTGGAGGATTTTCAAGGGGTTATAAATATAAGCATGTTTAAATGTTAATTTCTGGTCCTTATAACTGGATTATATAAAAGTCAATATATACAATTATAGTTCAGTATGGTATCTATAAAAGCAATAT